TTAATATTTATAAAAAACAAACATCCTTTTTTTTGTCAATTGTTATTTGCAATACAAACTCCTTACTATACAGTCTTTACTGGAATCAAACTTGGGATCCACCTTCTCTGCCTCCCACATGCTGCAATCCAGTCCTGAACCACCGTCAGGAGATAACAGATCTGTTCACACACTCCTCTAGAGCTCTTTTGAGCTGGAACAGTCTGTAAGAGGTTGACAAGCACCGTGTGGTGGCTAAGTATTCTCAACCTGAGTCCAGCAGGAATACACAGACCTGTGACCAATCACAGCTGCAACTGAGGAATCACTGCAGTGGTAACCAGATCATCTAAAGGAAAGCCCTCCCAGTGCCAAGGAAAGAACCAGAGAGAATAGAGATGAGAGCCAATGATCCCACCAATCAGTTTCAATGTCCCACGTCCCCACCCAGCTTTCTCTCCCTCCATATTACTGTCTCTTTGTTTAAATAATGAAGCTTATCATAGCAGGCAACGTCTGCACAGCTCTGTTTTGGCCTTATTTTATTGCTGTTTCTTTTCTTCCTCCCTTCATTTCTTTCTTTTTTTTCCTTTTAGTTTTTTTTTTTTCTCCCACTCTCACTATTTGACTTTGTTCTTTCTTATTAATTTTCCCAACATATCTGGTCTGGTTTGCAGGATTTCAGAGTCACAGAAATATGTTATCAGACAGCGACAGCACATCCTTATTTTTATTTAGTCTTCCTTTGGGCAATTCCTTTCTCTCACTACTCTGGCCCCACAGATCCTCATACCCATGTTCTCCTTCTTCACCCTCTCTTTCTATCATGATGTTATGAATTGGTAGTCTTACTGTATTTTTCTTTTTTCCTTCCTTTTTGACTTTCAACTTACACCCTTTTAGTTCCTAAATATTAGTAACTAAATGTTAGCAACCAAATGTAAGTAACCAATATAGTAACTAAATATTTCTTTTAGTTATTAAATTATTAGTACACACTGACATTATCATACTTTTTCCCTAAAATAAAGTATTTTTAAAAAGTGATTATTGCATATTGAATTACTAGTCTGTTATCATAGGCTTACCCCAGACAGTGATTGCTATCTACTGAACACCTGTCTTAGAAGGATAACAGACATCTCAACTCTACTACAACAAACCAATATGTTACCAATTGTAACATATATGTTTTTATATATGGGGCAGGCAACAGATTTAGGACAACTTGAAAAAAAACCGAATATACAAACTCTGGGAATAAGAGAAACAGAATTCTATACAATGGCATACAACATATTTCAGAAATCAAAGCAGAAAAAAAAATTCCAATCTAGTGAAAGAAAAACTCATTAAAAAACAAGAGGCATATAGAAGAAGGACCACAGCTAAAACACTAAGCATATAAAATAGAAGCTTCAGGAGAAAGCATCAAATCACAGCTAAAGGCCAGTTGATGCTAACAACAAACAACTTCTTCACAGAAACAGTGAAAGCAAATGGGAGCATATAACACAAATTCTGGGAGGCCACACCTGCCAACCCAGGCTATGACTCCCAGAAAAAAAAAAAATGTGATTTGCCAATGTAAACTTTAGGTTTTCCCATGTTAATATTATATTTAAATAAGGACTTTTATTCTTTGAAAATGAAATGTAAAACCATGACTGAAGTAGAAACCAAACTCTCTTCTCTTTTATAAGTGTGTGATTGTTAAGTATTTTTCAGTTGTGAGAGTCTTGCAGCAGGATCTCATAACTGCTAACTATGAAATCAGGACTGTTTTTTTTTTAATTTTATTAATTACACTTTATTCACTTTGTATCCCCCCATAAGCCCTCCCCTCCCAATCCTACCCTCCCTCCCCCTCTTCACACATGCCCCTCCCCAAGTCCACTGATAGGGGAGGTCCTTCTCTCCTTCCTTCTGATCTTAGTTTATCAGATCACATCAGGAGTGGCTGTATTGTCATCTTCTGTGGCCTGGTAAGGTGCTCCCCCCTCAGGGGGAGGTGATTAAAGAGCAGGCCAATCAGATTAAAGAGATATTTCAGACAGTTCAGTGGCTTTGGAGTCATCTCTGTTGTTATTTGAAGAACTAAGGTCACTAATGAGATGATGTTATCAAAAATAGGATTATCAATGGAAACCTCTAGTCAGAGCCCTGAAACTGACACTGTTTGAAAGGAAACCAAGGCCCCTGTATTGTACATCTTCATGACTTATGAATGAGTCATTTGAAGGCAGAACACTCCAAACAACCTCCTTGGCAGGAAAGTGTAAGTTCATTGTCCCCAAATCTGATATCCCACTTCAGAGATAAGTAGAAACTCAGTTTTTGCCAGAGTCAATGAAAGAAAAAAAAAATTAATTAGAACCTCCTTGAGAATACAAAATCATAGTGGCATATGTACTTCCTTAATCATTAGGCTATTTTAAAGATGTCTGAAGGCAGGGAAGATGCTCAATCCTCATTCAGAAGGACAAACATGATAGACATCAGAAGCAGGAGAAGACAGAGAACAGTACAGAAGCCTACCACAGAGAACCTCTAAAAGACTATACTGATAGAGGTATCAAAGCAGAGGCTGAGACTCATAGCCAAACTTTGGGGAGAGTGCAGCGAACCTTATGAAAGAAGGGAGAAACAGAAAGACCTGGAGGGGACAGGAGCTCCAAAAGGAGACCAACAGCTATAAAAACCGAGCCCTGGGGGCCCTGAATAGAATTATACCCCAACCAAGGACAATGCATGGAGAGGACCTAAAACCCCAGCTCAGATAAAGAATCATAGACTCAGTCTCCAAATGGGTCCTTAGTAAGGGGAACAGGGACTTTCTCTGGCATGAACTCAGTGGCAGGCTCTCTGATCACCTTCCCCTGGGATGTGCAGCCTTGCCAGTCCACAGAGAAAGGCAATGCAACCAGTCCTGATGAGACCTGATAGGCTAGGGTCAAATAGAAGGGAAGGAGGACCTTCCCTATCAGTGAACTAGGGGAGGGACATAGGAGGAGAAGAGAGAGGAAGGGTGGGAGGAGATGAGGGAGGGGACCACAGCCAGGACACAAACTGAATAAATTGTAATAAATGATAATAATTACATTAAATTAAATCTAAAAATGTCTGAAACTGCCACATGTTTCATTTTAGAACTTGATTTGCCTATCTTGGAGAGTTAACTTTTTAACAATGATAATTTGACTCAGATTATAACTGGGTTGAATGAACCATCTTCCCATGAGCCTCTTGTTCCATTTCGTAGATCCATTTTAAAGCTACGAGCTCTCATCTCTTTTGAGTCTCTCTGTTCTCTTGATTCTTGTGCATCCTACCTTTGGATGGGTCTTCCTATAATATGACTATATCCACATTTTTTCTTATATAAAAATACTTCTTGCTTTTATCATTGAGAATTTCATGCAAAATCTTTTACCTTACACTCAAGCAACTTCTAATTGGCATAAATATTCTGTCAGTATTATCTACAATTTGAACTCCCAAAATAGTGATCCATTGAGGGTATCTATCCTATGTCTGGAGATTATTTTTCCCATAGACTTTCCTGAATGCATCAGTGTTTCTTCTCTCCCTTTAATATCTCCTTATTAGGATATAACCCACAAGTGCATGGTGACTAAAGAGTTAAAGGATTTTCTGCTGAAGAAATAGAGGCCACATTAGACCTGACTGAATACAGATGAATGCAGTTTTATCAGGCGCTGCTCCCTGGGCCGGTTTATCAGTCCCGAAGAACAGGGCTGAGAAGTCCATGCTAAGGCATGGAGGTTTTTCAGACCTTAGGGGACTTGTGATGATGTGTCAGGCAGAAGATGGGTCTGTGTCCAGGAATGGTCAAAAACCCACATTTAGGCACATCGGCCATATCAGAAAAGCTGGTTGCATTGGCTGGCAGAACTGCAAAACTGGACTTTTGGCACCATTCCTTTGCTGAGTTTTCCCAGTGTGGGTGAGGTTTGGAGAAGGATGGCAGATGGGGTTTCCCAACATGTGCAGGGGCTATCTGTGGGCTCCAGTGGAAGAGGAGTTTCTGATGATATCCATGTAGTGGTGTCTTCCACTTCCTGAAGCTTCCTACTAGCTAGGTAGTTCCATGTTTCTTTGGGACAGTTTGGACTTCATTAATCAAATACTGAATGCTTTAAATTTTCCATGCGTTTATAGTTCCTATCAAAGTGGCTATTCCCTTACATTCTTTTTAAACTTTTAGCACATAGGATAGACTAGTAAACGGTCCTTTGTAAGTATTCAGTTAATGACTCTTGGCTCAGGGATTTCTAAACTATTCAGGAACCAAATTGGCTTTAGATGTGAGGAAAATGAGATCCATAGTTACAATAGGGAGCTACTCAATCATCTGTTGGTTTACTAATATGTTAGTTTTCTAATTTTGATAATGTTATTTTGTTATTTGATTGGCTGTTCCCAAGATAATTGCATACTGGTTTAAGCAAATTACATGCATGTGAGATTACATGCACATTACATTTATTATAATATTTGTCTTCATAAAGTAAGTATAAGTGTTTAAGTTTCTTTTAAGATAATTACTACTGCAAGAGCAATACAATTCCATTTTAATTGATATAATAAGAAAGAGTGTGCAAAAATTTAAAGGCAATAGGTACTTTTATTGAAATAAGCAGTTTTCTAATGAGGACCAAATACTACAGAATTATTTGACATCCTGTTAAACCTTGTATTCTACCATAGTCTATAAAGGCAACATTGTAATTTTACATTTTGCCAAAATGTGAATAATATATCTATTTACTTCTTAATGTATTAAGAATGTAGTGGACAATTCAAGTTCAGTTTTTCAATGAAGTATTTGCATACAAGAATGAGAAAACATGGAAATTAATGAGATGATAAAATTATAAAATTTATTTAAATAAACAAGAATATGGAATCTGCTCGACGTTATGAAACACACTGGGTATAGCATTTTAAAGCCTTTATCCCTGAGCACTTTGATGCTAATGTCACACAGTGTCACTTACCATCTTTCAGGATGGTTTCTCGCTCTGTGCCATCTATCTTCTGCCGGCCAATTAGGAAACTGGTCGTGTCAGCAAAATAGATATAATTAGCTTCCGCATGAAAATCTAAAGCACGAGGGTTTACCAGATTTTCTATGGGGATCATGCATTCATCAGCTATCTTGGTATTCAAGTCCATTCCTCTAACAATTCCTGGGCGTCCTTTCCCATAAAAGAGGAACAATTCATTCTTTGGCCCTGTGGAAGAAAGATTACAAACATAAACAACCCATGCTGCATAATCTTCTTTATACTGCCGAATGCCACTGTTTAATTAACTGGCACAATTAGGCTTTTTTAAAATTCAATACTAGAAATTAAACTCCAAAATATGCCAAACGGATCTTGATGCAAGAAGGCCAACTAATTGCATTACTTTAATTAAAACAGAAATTACTTCACTGAATGGGTTATATTTAGTTAATTATTCTTCTGTCTGTATAGCAAAAACATGACAGATCATTGAATAACTTGTAACTTGTAAAATGGAAATTTATTAAAATATCCGGTACATCTAATTGTGTAATTCAGTACAATCAAGCTAGTGCTTTTTGAAGATACCATCTATTGCACTCATTACATCTGACAGCGCTGCAAACTTCAGGCCAATTAAAATGCTGCAGTACAGCGTTGCCATATACACACTGTGATGAACAAAAGAGTCACAGGGTATCAGGGACAAGAACATGAAAGCTACTGTGTTCTGCTGTCCAAACAGGTGACTAATTCTGAGAAGAAATGAATTAGTGCCCGTTGATAGCACCAGTTCACTTCACCGCTGAATTGTAATGTCAGAGGCTGATGCTGTTTGCCAGCAAGTCACATGTACAACACAGGCTGTACTAAAAGCAATCAAACACACAAACAAACAACTCCAAGCAAACAGAAACAGGCTCTATAGTTACTGAAATCCGAAATTAAGGTAGCCTTTTTTCTCCTTCCTTCCTTCCTTCCTTCCTTCCTTCCTTCCTTCCTTCCTTCCTTCCTTCCTTCCTTCCTTTTTTTCATACTTTTACAAAAACATGGGTAATTTAAAGGCAACTGCATCGCCCCCAAAAAGGATTTCAGCTCCCACCCCTCAATTTTTTCCCCCCAGTGGTGACATCTCTCCAAGGCTGCAGCCCAGGAGCTCCTGTTTGTCTTGCAACGACATTAACTCTCACACCTGTTCACTGCTAGTATAAAGGTGAGGAGAGACCTTGCAAATTATTGTAACTTTTTTTAATTGCCTGGGCTGAGTCAGTTTCAGCAGTGTCCAAGCCCAACAGGCAAGGCTTCCATACAGAGGAAGTAGATACATAGCACCTGCCAGATGCACTCAAAGCCCACTCCACATACTTCAGAGTCTTGTGCTAGTAAATCCTCTTGCTCGGGTTTGACCCTCCACGTCAGCTCCCGGGCAGTCAGATGGTTCTTTACCTCTTGAGTTCTAAAGGAACCCACCCCACATACAGCCCCCAAAGAAACCAAGGTCCTGAATGTAGAGTTCCAGGAAGCCAGCTATTTGGAAATTACTGAAGCAGAGCAACTTACCCAGCATTTGCAAAAAGAGACAACTGCCCTGAAGTTTCAACAATCTTTCCTGCCCAAGGAAAGCACGAACGGCCTACATTCTCCCCCTACATGAAGAAATGCCCTCCTCACTTCCCTATTCTGAGCCCCAAAAACTCAAGCTTGAAACATCTACGTGCTTTCTCTTAAAAAATGGTCATTGACTATGTCCTGTGTCCTAGTCATCATGTGACTAGAAAGAGAGATGTCAACTCTCTGGCATTAAAGAAGCCTGTTCAAGCTGTTTGTGTTCCTATAAATGTTCATCTTCTGTTTTTCCTACAAACTTAATTCTTAAATATTTTTACAGGGTCTGACATATAACTTTATACAGAGGTTTTTGGGGGTTTTTTTATACTATACATTTTTAAAAAAATTATCAGAGGATTCAATTTACTTCAACTGCATTTTAAATTTCATAAATTAATTTTATTTTTATTATACTCAACAGCCATCGATAGATTTAATCATATAATACATTTCACTTCTGTGTAGTATTTTTCATCAAATTTAACTTGTGTAAATATTTTTGCATTGCATATTTAATTATTACTGGCATATATTCAGTGAACACAATGATGAACTTCATAATGGCATTTGCTTAAATATAAATGCAGTTAGGCCATAGTGACTGTCTGTTGCTTGCTGCTGCCTCCTAGCCCACTAAAAGCCCACAGTTCTTTCCTTCTATATGTATTGAATTATTTAGAGGGAACATTCCATGTTTTAAACAAGTTTATCTTTTGTGTTGATTCAGCGTGTGAAGCCTTACATTGTTCCCACTGCATAGTTTAAAGATCACTGGTTCATGTACATATTGACTTTATGGTTTGATCATAGCCCTGGGATAAAGATTTTCCTTCTGCTCTGTCATTTCACACCTGTCATTAGATGTAATCATAGTAATTATGTGATATAAGTTGTCCTTACATTCTTATCCCTGCTTTCACACCTCTTAATGTCTCTATGATGTCAAAAGCATTTATTTAGAAATAATATTTTATGTAATTTAAAAGTAGTATCAGTTCATTTGGTAGCATCATTTTCTGAAGTTGTAAAAATTTTTGATAAATATTATATGCATATATTTATTTTTCAATTTAAGCATCATTAAATTTAATATTTGCTCAGATCATTAAAAATATTTTCAAAAACATTCTTTTTACTACTAGTATAATATTACATTGTAGTAAAGAAACAATAAGGTTCTATCATGGCATACTTTAATTTACATTTTTAATGAAATTACAGTTAGCAGGAGATAAACCTGGACTTTCATTGTTACCAGATGTAAATTTTACATTTTAAAAATGTAAAAATTACATTTATTTATTCAGTCTTATTTTGGGCATTTTCTTTATGCCTACTTTAATGTGTGTGTGTATGTATGTGTTTTCTATATACAATAAAAACAGAAATTTAAATATCACAGACACTGACATAGCCTGAGTTCTGTTTTGAAGTTCATGATTTTACTCTAATGTAAAAAGTGAGAAAAAAGTTTGTTTCTGTGGATAAACATCTAATAGAAAACGCAAAGGTGTCCTCCAGGCCATTTACCCTTGGGAGAAACAAAAGAAAGGGACAGGACATCACCAATGGATTGGGAGGATGTCCCATTGAATGTCATTTTGGAGCTAGCAAAATCATTGCTAGATTCCTAACCCCCTGACCTCAGCTAAAATGTGTTTTTACAGTAACATTTCCCTTTGTGGACTGATATTGCCCTGGCATTTGATAGCGCCAGGTGCCTGGTCCTAATAGAGGAAACTTATAGAGTTTGGAAGATCAAGAATCAATTTGTGTTTAATATAATTGTAGTATAGCTAGAATTCTTTGTGGTGACTTGAGTACCAAAAGGACACAGTCCACTACAACCCAATCAAATGTAACTATGTATTTTATTTATTTTCTTTTAAAAAAAATTACATGCTTGTTTGAAAAAAAAAATCATTAAATTACCATGCTGAATTCCAAAATTTAAATAGAAATACTTCTAATAGCTTGTAACCTTGGGATTTTTTTTACTAAATTGAAAGGATTGATGCTTAATTACCATTGTTAACGAAACATGAAATAAAGAAGTAGAGTTGGGTTCTGTTGCTACTACATAAAGGGATGCGTTGATACGGCTTGGTTGTATTCAATGGTACAATATTGCTGTATATGCACTCTGTCAGTCAAACAAGACACCTATTTTTGAGGTGCATTTTGGGTCAGATAAGAGGAAAATCTAGCCAACCCTATGTGTAGCTTATTCAGGAAATTAAAAACTTAAAAAAAAACATTTTTTGTTAAAATTTTCCAGATGTAAAGATTTTTTTTTAAGGTAAATTACAACTTTGAGGAGAAAAAGTGTTTAGGAAGTATTTGCAGGCAAAATCTCCTGTTCTTATTGATGTTGATACTGCTGGTCCTGAAATGATGCCTGCTGACAAGATGTTTGTATTAACAACATACTTTTGCATGACCTGCCATCACTCCCCAAGTTGAAGCCAGTCCTGCAGCGACAGGTCCGTGTCTTATAACTGCTGCTGAGCAGACAGATGTGTGAACATCCGCCTGGCATTCCATACCCATCCACTTCGCAGGCATGGCTTCTGACTATAGAGAAAACAAGACAAAGTTATTATGTGCAAGCTTTACACGGTAAGGACACAGAATCTTAGCAGAAGATACATGCTCATGCATTGAATACTATATTTACATGGAACAGATTAAATCCAATAGAAGAGGAAATTGATTAACAAAATCTTTTTGAGATACATTTTTAATCTAAGAAATATTAATTTTATATGTTTATATAAAATTAACATGTTTTGTTTCCTTGGAAACAAGCTTCATGTACCCATTTAAATGACATTAAGAAAGAAAGGAAAGAGACATAAAAGATAACAGAAAAATTATCCCAGTTGTAGGGAGGTGAGCAAAGGCTTTTCTCTGCCACCATAAACAAATGAACAGCCACACTGGGAGAAACAGGACTTAGATAATGTCTGAAGTGATAATCCATGCTAAACTACAACATATGTTTTCAAGGTTTCATTCATTGTCATGGTGAGAACCTTGCCAATAAATCATGTGTACAACTGTAGCTGTAGAAAGTTGAAGACTGAATTTGCACAAGAAAAGTAGGGCATAGAAATGTACTTTATGCATCTTTGGAAGTAGAGAAGAACAAAATTGAATAGGACCATGTTAATAAGAAAGAACATGGTTAAAGAGAAGTAATACTGTAACAGTGTCAGTAATGATCTGTGTATGCTTAGGGTTATACTTTTGATCAACTCTTAGTTGAAAGTGAGATGAATATCATGACAAAGCGATTTTATAGCCAAACTACTTTACTTCTTTTTCTGTATCCATCATTTTTCTAAAAAAAAAAAAAAAAAAAGAGTGAAATGCTCTCTTGGTGAAGGCTTTTACTGATGAGTACTGTCTGCTGGCTTTTGAAGTTCCTTGGGTAGAAAAGCTATCCTGCCAACATCATCACTTTCCTTTTCCTTTTCATTATTGGCTAATAGCATGCAAGTGTTCCAGTGTTTATGCATTCTGGAAAAAAAAAGAGACGACTTCTCATTGCCTTCACCTAAGGTACATGGTTCTCAATAGTCATAGCTTATATTCTCAATCTCCTTTCCTTCCATCTCCTTCAAAACCATTCCAATCACATATTTACATCAACATTCAAAACATCACTGTCAAATAACCATATTTTCTAATCATCCCCATTCCACCCTCACACACAGCCTGTTGTCAGTTCTGTGTATCTATGGATTGTTCATAAATGTTATAAAAATCACGACACTGCTGAATGGTTTCTTATGATTCCTACTTCATGAAAAAAAGAAAGGTCTTTATGATAATTTATAAGCTCCTTCTTGATACAAAGTCTATGGTTTCTCCAAATTTCTACCCTTCTTTTATGTCCGTAGTCATTTTGCTTCAACCTGATGAGCTTCCTGGATGCTCAGAACAGTTTTAATTTGTTCTTCCCTCATGAATTTGAGATTACACACCTCTTTCTACAACCCTCTCACTTCATCATTTCATCATGCTTCTCATATCCAATTTCTTGAAGTCTTTATTCAGTGTCATCTTTCTAATAAGAATTCTTTTGCCTGGTTAACAAAAAAAATTTACAAATTCTCCATCTGTGACATTGTAGACCTTTCTTATCTGCTTTTCTTTTTAATAATAGTTATTGTTTCTAATGAAATAAATAACTTATTTACTCCTTTTGTATGGCATTGTCTGAATGGGACATAAATTTCATAAAAGCAAATAATACTTTGTGTTTTGTTTATTAATATATTCCCACTATGGCAGTTAAATCCTGATGCATAGTAATTGTCCATGAATAATTGGAAAATTCAGGAAGCCTAACATCGAATTTCAATAAAGTTCTCTACAAAGTTCAAATTGAATTTGCTACCAACCTGCACTGTATATAATGGATATACATTGATATTTAAATAATTTTAGGTTAGTTTTAATTTTAGGCATAAGAATAGAAAGATGACAGAAATTTGGGGTGGTAATATTTGCTTTAAAACTACTCTATTCCTGGGGCTAAATTGAGTTGCTAAATAGCATTATTAAGATACCATAAAAATAATTATGTTGTGTCTTTAAGAAACACTTAAACTACTGCAGTTAGCTTTAATTTTTTAGCTTCATTTTTTTTAATGGTCATGTTTTTAAAAACATAAAGCAACTGGAATATTAAATCAAGAGAATGCAAACTATCGCCAGTGGACACCAGGGAAGTGCCACAGAAAATAGCCTGATTTGAAACTTGCCTCAAAAAAAAAAAAAGATGATAACAAAATTCAAAAATAAAGCTTAGCATCTGAGCTGCCTGTCCACACACATCACAGTAGAAAGCTGCTTTCTGAAACTAAACTCTAGCCATCATTTCAATCCCATGGTTGTAGAAATGATTTGATAGGAGCGAAGCAGTTTGTCATTTAGACTTGAGAAGGGAGCTCTATTCTATTCTATCAAGGAGGCATGCACATTTTTGCTGTCAAAAAAGAGAATATATGATACCCTCTTTAACACCACACAGAAGCACAAGGACTATGTTCCCATTCAAGCTGCTGTTAGAAAGGCTTTTAAGAAACCCCAGTGACTTACCTGTTGGCTGAATTCTTTTCTGATAGATTCGGATTCCTCGAGCATTTTCCATTTTAATTATCGGGTGAATATCACTGCCATTGAATCGGTTTATTCTCATGATATTAAAATTATCAGAACTGGTTGCATATAAATAATCTTCAAATACAGTTATGCCGTTGAGATGTTTAACCTGCAAAGAGCATCAAATACAGCTATGACTTTTAATTATGGTGTTTCTAATACAAAAGAAAAATTACAATTGCAACTGTGAAGAACATCCAGAATCAGAAGGATGTTATCATTTATTTTCTTTCAAAAGAACAATCTAATACGTCCTGTTCTTTTTTACTGAAGGGTAATATATAGTAGTGGATAAAATCGTTTTATATGCATGGGAATTAACTATATTCATGTTTAATCAGAAATATATACTTTATTGTTTCTAAGGCTAGCAAGAACTAGACCTTGAAATGAATTCACTATCATGCCATGCCATGTCAAAATTAATATAATTTAGGATATTTTATGGGCTACGTGATCATATAGTCATAAATATGTAGTCCTTGAAAAATCACAGCTACACTCACTAAGAGTCTGAGAAGAAAACACCTTTGAATATTTGTTCCATAAGTTAAAAGTCACATTTTTGTCTTAAGTTATGATTAATGTTTTATGCAGTGTGGAAAATAGTGTGAAAGAAATCACATGTATGCAATAATGGTAAATAAAATTTCAGCAATTTACTCACAAATGTCATGATTTCTAAAGCTTATTCATTCATGATAATTAGAATGATTTTTACACACACAATTAAATTAATATCTTGCCTCTGTTTCTGTAAACGTTTTGTGTATTGTAGTGAGGACTGAGCATTTGATGTTCATAGAACTTCCACTGGGGCAGAAGGAAGACTGATGTACTTTTTATTTTTATTTTTCTGATAAACTGCTGGGAATAAATGTTAATTGTTTTCTTAAATTATGCTTAATTTGAAATGGTTCTGAATGCAGGGAATCAAAAAAAAAGGGGGAGGAGAGTTAATATGACCTGGAGAAGACAGGAGTTCCACAAGGATCAAATATATCTTGGCACAGGGGTCTTTTATGAGACTGTTTCTCCAAACAAGGACCATGTATGGATTCAACCTAAAGCCTCTGCTCAGATGTAGCCCTTGGTAGCTCAGTATCCAAGTGGGTACCCTAATAAGGGGAACAATGACTGTTTCTGACATGAACTCAGTGCCTGGCTCTTTGACACCTCCCTCCCCCAGGGAGGAGCAGCCTTGCTAGGCCACATAGGAGGACTTTGCAGCTGTCCTGAAGACACCTGATAAACCAGTATCAGATGTAAGGGGAGGAGGTTCTCCCTTATCAGTGGGCTTGGAAAGGGGCAGGGAGGAGATGAAGGAGGAAGGGTGGGATTGGGAGGGAATGAGGGAGTGGGATACAAGTTAACAAACTGTAACTAATATTAAAAAAATAAAAATTTAAAAAAGGCAACTTTTACTGTTCACCACTTGGAAAGAAAAAAAGAAATGGCTGTGGTCTGGGTATGTGAGGTTGTTACTGGATGTTACAGAGATTTTATGACAACCACTGATCACTATGTTTAGAGACTGTATCCTGGGCTCTCTTATAGACAGATAGATCTGGAGTTGAGAATGTGACCCCTGTCATCTCAGCACTCAGGGAGAAAGAGGCAGACAAATCTCTGTGGGTTTGAAGCCAGCCTGGTCTAGAAAGTGAGTCCAGGATAGCCAAGGCTACACAGAGAAACCCTGTCTCAAAACAAAACAAAACAAAACAGACAAAACAACTTCTTGGAAACTATATAGTTCTAGCATAGGTGAACCATTGTGATTCTCTGATCCTTTTATGAGGTGTGAATAGAAAAAAAACTGGCTTTGAAGTTTTTTTTGTTTGTTTTTTGTTTTGTTTTGTTTTGTTTTGTTTTTTTACCTGGAAATCTCTTTCTAAAAATGAACAGCAGGAATGATTGTAAAAGACTGTTCCATGTTAAAGGCCCCAAATAACTTTCCAAATATGTGACATTATAATAAGTGTACGTACACATACTGTGAGGGGCGAGGGATGTGTGCATTTACCAGCAGCATTTTTTCATGCAGCTGATTTCGTAGCCACCATATACACCAATGACCTAGTGTTGGTTTAGGCAATGGTTTCTTTCACATTAGAAAGTATAAACAAGCTGCAGCTTTTGCTTTGCTCAGAGTGTGAGACCATCCTCATTCTCTGTCTGTCCTTATGACATACTACTACTGTTTTATACATGACATCAGTGACGTAAACCATTGCTACCGAAGAGACAACTGGCCAGGATGGAAAACCTATTCACATGGCAAAAACTGTATTTCATTTAACAGCTCCCCACTTTCTTCCATATAAATCAGTTTCCGTATTTTAAAACTTCAAAAGACTATCTACATTGCATTACTTGGTGGCAGACTTAGCATATATTCAGGGAACCAGCCATACACATAAAACAGAAATATGGATAAGGATAACTAAAAGTTCAATGGCTGGGAATAAAGCTTAATTGGTAAAGTACTTGTTTTACCTATTTCTGTGTGCTTGGAAAGAACTGGGTTCCATTCTAAGAGCTCATCCTAAAAGCAGGAGGGTGTAGTGTGGATTTGGCATCTCTATACTCTCTGCTCAGCCAATCTACCCAAATTAAAGAGCTCCAGGCCAATCAGAGAGCCTGACTCAAAAAACATGGCGACTGGCACCCGAGGAAAGACATCAAAGGTTAACCTCTGGCCTCCATAAATGTGTACTTGAGTCCCCACCACCGCCAACCCACACAGCACATAGAGATTTCACAGCAGTTAAAAGGGCTTGCTGTGTAATCATGAGGACCACAGTGTAAACCCCAGCACTATTCTAATAAGCTAGAAGACCTGTGAGCAGCTGTTATTTCAACTCTGAGAGACCTGGCTTCCGCTCTCATAGTGTACTCAAGCAGACATGTGTGCAGACACTACAGAAACAAAAAACAACAACAACAATCATAATGAGGAAGAGAGCGGAGACTAGACATCTAAAAGATTTCTAAACCTTTTGGAAGATTTCTTTTTATTATTTTAAAATATGTTACATGTGTGTTTCTATGTGAAAGATTTACGCATACGGATACAGTGTCCACCGAGGCCAGAAGACGGTGTCAGATTGGCTTTACAGGTTGTGAGCACCCTAAAGTACTGAGAGCTCTGTCAGAGTCTTCTGTTAGAACACTACATACTCTTAACCACTAAGCCATCTGTACAAGCCCTTCTAAGACTTTTACAGTAGGTATTATGAGGAAAATCATTTGAGTTCTCCAGTCAATGTTTAATTTTTAATGACAAATTAATAAAAAAAACTGACTCTCAAAATCATCTTACAAACTTATTACACAGAATGACATAAGCAAGACCTACCCAAAACATATATATATATATATATATATATATATATATACACATATAGGTATATATATACATATATAGTATGTGTGCGTGTGTAACTCAGGTGTCAAGGAAAATGAAATGCATTTGAGGAATGAATTGTAGTAGATAAAAATAACTGTAAGGGGTATTACATAATGTGCCTACCTCATACTATAAAAGAAACAAAAGGGATTTAATTTTTAACTCTAATAACTCACTAAAAACCTCATGAGAGATTGCGTAACATGTGAGAAGTAGCTAAATACCAGTGTAAAAATACCAGAGAAAAAATAAACTTCATCTCAGCTTACTAAGATATTTATGGAACATTGTTTGAAAATAAGAGAGAGAGAGAAACGTAATTCACAGGCAAGAATATTGACCTTGGAAACTTCTCATTTAGGAAGTACACAAATGAATCAGTTGGCAAAATTAAGTCTAACACTATTAAAATAATTAGGATATTTTTGTGAGCACACATTTGCTTTTGTTAGCAAACTATTTTTAATGTCCCGTGGGACAGATGGTAGTGTGGCTCCATATGAATAAACTGCTTAAATTAGTTTTCAGAAAGTAGGTCATGACATCTGTCCTGTTCCAGGGAGTCTCTGTCTTGCTAATACAGCACTTTTACATTTGTGTGCCTGCTTATGTTTGTTTGCTTTCAACAGATGGGACAAGAGGCAAGTGGTATCTCTGACTTCATGGCTGTGATGGCTAATCTTGGCTATCATTTTGTCTACATCTGGGATTAACTAAACCCCAACCTGCTGGGCACACCTGGGAGGGATTTCCTTGAAAAGCTCCTTTGAGATCTGAATACCTACCCTAAATCCGGATCATCTATTGTGGAAAGAGCCACACTAAAATGTTTCTGGTGGTAGGCTACATAAAAGATCATGGAAGAGGGAAACTTGCTTTTCTCCTGTTTGCCCTCACACTAGCTGACAAGTTCAATAATTCTGTTGCCAAGGCATTCCCTTGCTCATGTTAGGTTAGAGCATACTCCTTTGGAATTCAAATCTAGAGGGAAGGCCAGTAGCTCTCTAAGCTACTGGCTTAGGTATCCAACCTCATGGCCTTTCATTCCTTGCCTTTCCATCAGGAAACAATCATTGCTGTACTAACCAGACCACACACACACACACACACACACACCCAAACACACACACACACACACACACTCCATTATGTTCCCTTTGAGGACCTTGGCAATACAATGGGCACAACCTAGTATCACCTTGACTAGAATATCCTCCCAAATTAAGCAAACAAACAAACAAACAAACAAAAACAAAAACAAAAAACCATTAAGTTTGTGACCCGTAACATCTTGTCTTTAAGGTTTTTTTATTTTATTTTTATTTTTAAGGTATTTTTAAATTTTTTTTTCACAATTTATTCATTATGTATCCTGATTTAAGCCCCCTCCTTCAACTTCCCCCAGTCCCACCATCCCTCCCTCTTTCTCCCATCCCCTTCCTCTAGGCCACTGAAAGGGAGAATTCTCCACTATTGCCATCTGCCTATTGCTTGTTAAGTCTCATCAGGACTGCCTGGATCCTCTTCTTCTGTGGCCTGGCAAGGCTGCATCAGCAGGGGCGAGTGATCAGAAAGCAGTCAACTGAATGTGTGATAGAGGCAGCCTGTGACTCCATCCCTCAGAGATCCACACAGAGACTGAATGGAGGTATTTTTAATGCTGCCAATTTTAATTTTTAGGAGAGTAGCATTTATTCAGTTTATTGTGTTAGCTGTATTTTCTAACAAAATTGTACTTACTTGTCTGCCTTGAACAAGAGTGTGCCTGTTTTTGCCGTGGTAGTCTACAACTCCCACATAGTCCAAGTAGGGATCCACCCAATAAACCAATCTGTTGATGATATCCAAGGCCAGGGCAGCTGGCTGTTCTGCCTTTGCGGAAACTATCCTTGTTCTGTTCATCCCGTCCATGTCACATCTCTCTATTTTTGGAACAGTTCCATAGTCAGTAAAGAAAAGTTTTCTGTTGAAAGAAAAGTAAATGTTAATATGAAGGGAGAGAAAGCATATTTGAGAGAGCCATCTGTAAAATGCAGAACTCTCCTTCTAATTTATTTCAGTAGTTACATCTGCTAGCTTCCCATAACCATTTCCATATAATATCAGTCATAAACAGACAAATCTGCTAATGAATATTGCAGGGCGTAAGGGAGCAGGTTAAGCAACAACTGTAAAATACCCTTAAAACCAATGACTTCGGTGGGTTTATTTTGTATCAGCAGAGTTTTGTTAAGCCTCATAGAGCCAGTGCATTCAGTACAAGCCAAGCCACCGGGCCAGGCCATGGGAGCCACCAGACATTATCTCCAACCTGCTTTCCAAATTGCTAGTAATATTTGTATCCTATAAAACCTGTTCTGTGTAGTCCTGTAATGTTGTGAGGGGGCAGAGATCTGCAAACTTAGACTAGAGTGAAGCAGACTTGCTGTTTGCAGCCCTAGAAACAATGCACAAATAACGAGATTCCCAGATTATTACAAATGTTTCCAAACTAAGAGAATTGTATGGAGGAAAGGGAGGACACTTCTCTATTTCTCTTAATGTATTTTGAAGAAACAGCTGAAACAAAATGCTGACTTCTGGGACAAGAAATCTTGTTAAGCAGTTCTGAGATGCCAAAGGTTTGAATGAACTTGGAACACTTGAGTGTTTAATATTTGATTAGTATTCACAATGTTTAGTAAACACAAATCAATTTCAATTATCCTGACAATAGTTAACAAGATTTCCACTCATGAGACTTAATTGCATTTGTAAAGAGAAGACCATCTTGCCTTGACTTAAATATAATCTCAAGAATAATCTAATTTACAGTGACTGAGCAATATGAAGATTGCCCAGAGTAGAGAATATTGGATTTTACAAACTTGGAGAAATAGTTTTTAGTTACTTTTCTCAACATTCTTGAATTATCTAAAACAATGAGTATATATTTGAAACTAAAAAGTATTATTTAAACTGTCATTTTAACAGTTCTTTCCACATGGAAGGCTTTTAAACATAAATGTATAAGGTTCTGTACTAATGGGAACCAGAGTTTCTTATGAGTTCTTAAAAGATTATACTATCTTAGCAAGTTAAACATTTCAAGTAACAGTCCATTCGACAAACAGACAAAAAAATAAAAATTCATGGATATAACCCAGCACTCCTCCTCTCTCTCCTTCTCTATTTCTCTCTGTGTCCTTGTACCCTTCTGGTATCTCCATGTTCCTCAGTCTTAGCCAATTTGATTGTAGCTCACCCAAGTTAAATTTCAAAAAGGAGTACCTTTCTTCTTTTATAGAAAATATACAAGAGGAATTCTAAACAAAAGAGACACTTCTATTTTATGGAAGGTCTGTCACATGGCATAAAGCTTCTTGTTTGCATCATTCCCATTTTACATTAGCTTATTCCACTGAGGTGAAGAGAACTTGTTAGTTTGCAGGTGCTGAGGGTGGAAGAAGCTGGCACATCATGACCTGTGCTGTTCTCAGAGACATTACTCAGCAGTTCTCCCCAGGAGCCTGGGTTCAATTCCCAGTGCTCACAATGCTGCTTTCTACTCCAGCTCCAGGATATCTGATGGTCTCTTTCCACCTGCTCAGGCACCAGTCACAGATGTACATGTAGGCAAAACATTTATACATATAAAATGAAATAAAACTAAAACACACAGAAAACAGAAAAAAACAAAAGCAAAGACCTGTCTATAAAGGAAGGCTTATCTGGACCCTTAAGTTGATTTCATTGGATTATATCCAGAAGAAATAAAGAAAGTAGAGTGAAGACAAGAAATGTCGAGGCCTCCTGTTCTAGAAACAGATAAAAGTAGAAAAGAAGACCGATGATGTCAGATGTTAGGCAAGGTCAGAGGGCAGAAAAAGCAGACATCTATGGATGTCTAAGAGAAACATTGCAGGAGGAAGGATTAGAATGGTTGGCTGGGTCAAACTTCACAAGTAAGAATCAAGTTATCCTTCAAGAGGAGAATAGTTAGCTCAGTCTTCAAGTGGGTACCCTAGTAAGGGGAGCAGGGGCTGTCTCTGACATGAACTTAATGGCCTGCTCTTTGATCACCTCCCCTTTGGAGGCGTGGAGGGGGGTGGTGCAGCCTTGCCAGGCCACAGAGGAAGAAGATGCAGACAGTCACAATGAGACATGATAGGCTAGGGGCATATAATAGGGTCAGATAATAGGGGAGGAGGTCTTTCCCTATCAGTAGAATAGGGGAGGGGCATAGGGAAAGAAGAGGGAGGGAGGTTGGGGTTGGAAGGAGATGAGGGAGAGGACTACAGCTGGGATAAAAAGACAATATATTTTAATAAATAATAAGTAAATAAAATTTTAAAAATAACCACAAAAGAAGAGGCCATTGAATTTGATATATATTTTTAAATATAAGTTAGCTTGATACTTCTGATGGAGAATGATTTATTGTTATGAATTAGGTTGTAATGAACAATATACTAGCTATTCTTCCTACAAGTTTCTCAGTGTTATTGAAATTAAAACTTCAAAACTAAAAAATACAGATATATTCAACATCATAAGAAGCCTGGTTATAGTAACTCTAAAATAAATTTCACTCCCACCTGAGAAAAATTGTGTTTTTTATCATGTGTGTTGTTTCAGCCTGCTTTAACTTTCTGCATAACTGTTGCACCTCTTTGAGACTTTGGTTTTTAGCATAACTGTAGCTCCTTTGTTGACACCTGCTTCCATATTTAGCATAACTGAAGCCATTTTGTCTTTAGTCTCCATTTTGTTCATAAGATGAAAATGAGCTCAAGTTCTCAGGCTCTGCCTGACTGACATAATAGTCATTTACTCACAATTCAATAGTTGTTGAATGCTCTGCTTGAATTGATGATCAATGTATGTTCTACTTAAGCAAAACCACAATACCCTGCTATGTTCCCTTCTCCCAGAACAGTGGGGAACTGGAAAGTCCCCAAAGTTCCCATAGCCTAAATCTTAGTCAATCAGCTTAAAATGCTTTGTCTAGCTACCTAGGCACAATGTACCTGGAATACAATTGATTCTTCCTGCTCGGTTATGGTCTTTTTCCTTTGAAACTTAACTCTGAGAATGGCTCAGCATCACAGCATTGGCTCCTGAATGCAGATTGTGTCTCTGACTGGTCAGACTTTTATACACATTCAATAAATTTCTATCTATCTGAGTCTGGTTACCAAGTGGTGAGTGTTCAGGCTGTTCCTGAACTTCAATATTCCAAAGTGTGTATGTGTGTGTGTGTATTTAACTATTATATATATATATATATATATATATATATATATATATATATATATATATATATACATATAATTATATATGGTTTACTCTGTGTGTGATTTACTAACATTTTATAGTTTCATTATAATGAAGAAAAAATTTCACTGGAAATGTGAAACAGAGCGGAGGCAGAACAATAAAATACCACTTCAGTACTCACTTCCAGCACACTGTAGAATACCTAGTGTCCAAGAAAAACTAAAAAAATTGTTCTTTACACTAAAATGAACTTCCCTGTGTATGATGTATTATCATCACATTTATTGGGATCTAAGAAATAGAGCCACTTTAATTTGAATGAGAAATATTTCCCTCAGGTTCAAATTCTTCAGCTCTTGGTCCCATGTTGTTGGCACTGTTTAGCTGCATGCTGGGAATCTTAGAAGGTAGACCCTGTGGGAAAAAATATGTCCCTGAGGGCAGGCTTTGAGGACTTATAGCCTTACCCCTCCCCCCTTTGAATTATCTCTGTCCTTTGTGTTAAAAATATGATTCCTTAGCTTCCTGCTCTGGCTGTCTGCTGCTGAGTCACTCTAGAACCAAGAGTCCAAATAAACTATTTCTTTTATAAGCTGCTTTTTGTCACAGTGTTTATCACAAACACAAATGACTAATGGAGAAGGAGTTTTCAAAGATGACTTCCTGCCCACGGTACAGCTTGGTACAGCTCTGTACCATCATAGCAAACATGTCGCCCACTTTCATTTTTGCCTAATTTTACTTCAACACTTCCTGTTAAAGAGAAACGCCAAGGCCAAGCACAGTGGACTTTAATTGGAATCCGTAATCTCACAAATTGGAAGTAGAGGATCAGGAGCTTTACTTCATCCTCCGCTACACAGAAAGTTTGAGGTCAACAAGGGCTCTACAAGAAACTTTTACCTGAAATAAACCTGAATTATAATTATAAAATAAAAGCTAAATTTCACTGTAGACTGAAAAAAATTACCTTTTGTTCTTATATTTCCGAAACCTTAGCCAAATAAATAGTATTCCACTTTCCACATTATCACATTATCTTCAGACATCACCGCATAGATGGAAGATTCGGGAACAAGAGCATCATCTCATAACCCCAGTGTACCTGTCATCGTCAATATTTTAACTAACATACATAGTACGGCATTCTTCAAAATTTGGTTGCTAACCAATAGTGTTTTATGATTTGTTTGTTTGTGCTTCTCAAGATAGGGTCTCCTTCTGTAGCACAAGCTGATTTTGACTTCATCATTTTCGCGAATGTTGGAGTTAGAAGAGTTTGCCTCCTTGCATGGCTTACTTCACTTCACTACGTTATTCATAGTGATTTCTGTTGTTGAGAATGCAGGTCGGCATTGTACTTCCTCTCTCGCCGTTTCTTTGAAGCAGTTTATTTATTGAGCCTTTCTTTGTTGTTCCTGTTAACACGTCTGAGCAGCAGAGAGTTGCTTTGAGTGTCTGAATTTGTAGTTGCTTGATTTTTCTCCTGATTAGATTAAGCTATGCCGTTTGATCTGAAATATAGTTTTAGCCTTTGTTGTTGGCACCTTTTGGACTTAAAATCAAGAGGAAAGAATACAACCTACTCCAGAAGTTGAACAAAAAGTAAATAAAAATGGCATTTTGGACTCAATTTTATCCTTTTTCTTTCCTCAATGTTCTTTTTTTTTTTCCTTCGAACACCTAAGTCCTTTATTAAAAGAA